TATTTGTGATCGATCTTGATTGATCTTCACCTGTTCTCAATAAATTGGTTTTTTTTAAATAGATAATCCTTCAGGACTATCACTTATGTATTATTTTGGATTAGAAGGAGATGGGACTATAGATTTAGAAAATAGATTAGATCAATCGGTAACTTTTTGAGCGAGAATTAAAGTAGTTTTCCTTTAAATTAATAAACTTGTATATTTAGGGTTTAGACAATCCTGTTGAGCTTAGTGGAGAAGCACCTGATCTCGGACAATTCGCTATTAAGATAGTTGATGGTTCGTTTCGATGTTTAGATTAAATAAAAATTATAATCATCTTTAATTCATCTTTAATTCGATATGTTTTCAATAGGTCCAGATAATAGGATTCCAAAAATTACTGCAGTGAAAATGCAAATGCATCCTGATTTACGAAAAACGCAATATTGGGGGCATTTAGTTCCTGATGGTGATATATGGCGTGCGAAAGGTATGTATAAAAACGAATTATTTTGATTTACCGTTTCATTTCATTATGTCAGATAATAGGCAATACTGACTTTATTCTTGAAAGTTTATTTAAGGGCGTTTTATTCCAAAAAGTTTGAATCTATGCAGGAACAACTTAACTCTGGAAATATTCCTTCCCCGCCTTTTTTATTTAATTTACCTAATCAAGTGCATGAAAATTCTAATTTTTATATTTTTCAAAAGATGGTTGAAGCTCCTTTTCAGGTAATTGTCTTATGATGTAACAAAATTTTATTATATGACTAATTTCCTAATGTTTTTTTTGGCTTTGCAGTTTGATGTCTTTTTTGAATCAGGTTCATCACCGGTACATACTGAAGGTTGGAGACTTTATTTATATGTGTTTTTTAAAGACTAATATTCATTTGCTAATGATCAAATTCTTATGCATCATTAGAATTTGATTTTACCTCAAATCTTCAATATAGTTCACAGGACTTTGACACGAAATTTGAGAGTATCTTTGGTTTAGCTTCAAAGGGATTTGATGATGATCATATTTATTTTGCTCAAACTATGTTGAGTAATTTGATTGGTGGAATAGGGTAATTATTTTTGTTTCTTAAATGCAAATATATTTTTTCTTTTAATACTTTTGATTTATACCAGTTATGTGTTAATAGGTATTTCTATGGATCAAGTATAGTTGATAGATCTTATACAGATGTGGATGAAAATGAGGAATATTTTTGGGATGAGAGTAGGCAAGCTGATCCTCAATTAACATCACCATCAGCCTTATTTAGTGCCACACCATCTCGCCCCTTCTTTCCTCGCGGATTTTACTGGTAGATTACTTATTAATGTATAATTTTTTCTTAATTTTACACATTTATTCACAATTATGTTTACATTTCTTTACTTAACAGGGATGAAGGGTTTCATCAGCTTTTAATCGGACATTGGGATAATGATCTTAGGTGAAAATACTATATTATATCTTTGCATTTTGAATAATATTACTTATTTTTTATTTATTGCAACTTAATAGTTTAGATATAATCAAGCATTGGGTATCATTAATTGATAATGATGGTTGGGTTGCACGTGAGCAAATTTTGGGTGAAGAGGCTAGAAATAAGGTATGTCATCATTCAATTCAATTGAATCTAGATATATCACAATCTCAGAGTAGATTCCTAATTTGGAATCTATAAGATTTTCAAAATAGTCACACCACCATTTATAACCGCTCACATCTAAGGATTGAATTATTTTATAGGTCCCTCATGAATTTCAAACACAATATCCACATATGCTTCAGAAATATAAAATACATTACCAGAAGTTAAAGTATGTCCAGGAGTTCTACCTCTCCATCTGTAAGC